CTAGGCCTGCCATCAGTACTGACAATCTTTAGTTTCATGGTATCAGACCGTCAGATCATACTGGTCTGCCATCAGTACTGAGAATCTTTAGTTTCATGGTATCAGATCATCAGATCATACTGGTCTGCCATCAGTACTGAGAATCTTTAGTTTCATGGTATCAGATCATCAGATCATACTAGTCTGCCATCAGCACTGAGAATCTTTAGTTTCATGGTATCAGACCATCAGATCATACTAGTCTGCCATCAGCACTGAGAATCTTTAGTTTCATGGTATCAGATCATCAGATCATACTGGTCTGCCATCAGTACTGAGAATCTTTAGTTTCATGGTATCAGATCATCAGATCATACTAGTCTGCCATCAGCACTGAGAATCTTTATTTTCATGTGATCAAACCTTCACCTTGGTGGTGCGAAGAAGTAAAAGACGCAATTAAAAAGAAAAGGACTTATATAAACAGTGGATAAAATCAAAGAAAGAAGAAGATTATATCAACTATAGACTGCAAAGGAGAGAAACCAACAGGAGTGTCAAGAAAGCAAAACAAGCATCCTGGGAACGTTTCGGTGAGTCATTAGCAGAAAATGAGAAAAGCAAAAGGAAGCAAACGAGAATGCGGTCAATAAAAATAATGAGGCATCTTTCCTTTAAGCCATGTTGGTAAAATGTATGCCAAGATAATAGAAACAAGACTGAGACCAGTGATAGAACCACAGCTGGCAGAAGAACAGATGGGGTTTAGGGGAAATAGAAGCTGCACAGATGCAATCTTCACACTTAAACAGTTAATAGAAATGAACATTGAATACAATAAGAACTTATTTGTGGCATTCGTAGACCAGGAGAAGTCATTTGACAGAGTCGACAGACAATTATTATAGAAAGTAATGGCAAGATATGGAGTAAGCGAACACCTCATCAAAGTGTGCAAAAGTTTATACAGGGATTGTAGAAGTGTAGTTAGAATAAATCAGGAAACATCTCATCCATTCACAGTAACATCTGGAGTAAGACAGGGGTGTGTCTTATCACCACTGCTGTTTATCATCTACATTGACAGTATATGCAAGAATGTCAAGCCCATGAATGAAAATGTTAGAAAGATCAACGAATTCCTCTTTGCAGATGACCAGGCCTTGATAGCAGATACAGCCATGAAATTACAACAACATCTAACATCCATGAATGAAGAATGCAAAACAAATAATATGAGAATCAACACTGAAAAGACAGAAGTAATGTCAATAGGAAAAAAGAAGACAGATCTAAACATAGCAATAGAGTGCAAAGGCGTTAAACAGGCATCTGTTTTTAAATATATGGGAACTACATTTACCGAAGATGGGAAATTGGATAAAGAAATTGACATTTGATGCAGTAAAGAAAACAAGTATTGGGACAGCTAGCCCCCCTCTTACAGCATAAGACAATCCCAATCAGCACAAAGAGACATCTTATTCAAAGCATATTTATTCCAACTCTGTGCTACCAGTGCCAGACATGGTCACTCACAACAAACCATAAAAGAACATTAGTAAACACGGAAAGGAGATGTCTGAGAAGGGCTGTAGGAGTGACCAGAAGAGATAAGATCAGGAATGAGATCATAAGAGAAAAAGTCGGCACGGAACCAATTCTGGATTACATACGAAGACAGCAAGTGAAATGGTTTGCCCACTTAGAGAGAATGCATTGTGACACCATACCATACAAAGCATACATGGAAAGAGAAGAAGGACGTAGAGCACGAGGTAGACCAAGAACAATATGGAAGGATAACATCAGAGAAACTCTACAACAGCACGATGTGCCTATGGTCGAGGCGGCCAGAAGAGCTAGAAACAGAACCTTATATCTCCTTCGACACCCACAGCGGTAAAAGAGGAAGTGAAGAAGAAGAAGAAGAAACCTTCAGATCATATTTGTCTGCCATCGGCACTGAGATTCTTTAGTTTCATGGTATCAGACCAACAGATCATACTAGTCTGCCATCAGCACTGAGATTCCTTACTTTCATGTGATCAGACCATCAGATCATACTAGTCTGCCGTCAGCACTGAGATTCTTTAGTTTCATGGTATCAGATCATCAGATCATACTAGTCTGCCATCAGCACTGAGAATCTTTAGTTTCATATGCTCAAACCTTCAGGTCATATTTGTCTGCCATCGGCACTGAGATTCTTAACTTTAATAGCATCAAACCTTCAGGTCATATTGGAAAGTCACCCAGGACATCTTCTGATCTCAGGGTGTGAAACTTAATATAGTAGCTAGTAGGGAATAAGCTGCACCCATACACTAACTGTCATATCATTTTAGTGTTCTGGACGTCAAATGACGTATTCTTCTCTGAATAGAAAAACGAATCAGCGAGCTCCCTTGTTTCAGACAAAACGGAATGTAGTTAACATACTTAGGTAGAGATTTATTATGGCATCAACAAGCAGTTGATTTGTTGAATTATATCCATAGACATGTACATATAACACATGAATCTTTACACTAATCAAAATATGATAGTAAAACAGTATGTTGTCCACTGTCATGAATTATAAATCAAATTATGATCACAATTAAGGACATTGCAGTCTTCAAATTATTTAATATATACAAGTCATTTTGCTTGATACAATTAAAAAAAAAAAAAACATTACTCAAATTTTAACTGATCCATACACAGATTTATATATTTTTCAAACGTCGATTTAAAAAGACTTGGTCAAACTCGTTGATTACTGCGACCTATTCCTATTTGAATCGTTACAAACAGTTACCGCAAATCTTAACCAACCTATCTTCATCAACGGATTTTAACTCATGGTCTTAACCAAAGTATCTTAACATCGTGTTCAAGAATAAATTTTCTGATGATTATGATGCGGGTCAGTCCTTTCACAGCACTATTATTTCACGAAACAGTTGTGAATTCTTCGTGTACTCCACGAGTGAAGAATGTTCACAAACGTTTACTTTTGGAACCTCCATTTATCGTATACTTCTCACACAGACTGCATTCGATAGCCGGTCGACATTTATTATACACTCTTCCGATGCGAAGACACCACTCGATAGTTGACTTTTACGATCTGAATTTAACACTGAAAGCTTGTTTAACTATCGAATCGTAGACATTCTGGACCATGTCCAGAAGGACCATTTGGTATTCCAGCGAAAACGGTGGAAGAATAGTTGTTTATGGGATGATTGTTGCCCACCTTAACAGAACAAGACTGTAATCTCTTGGTCATATGGTAGGTTTGTCTTGGGCCCGTTAGATATTTGAGCCCGCAAGCGCCTGTTGGTTGATGTGAATATGTGAGGTTTAACTGCGTAGCAGGGGGAGATAACTCCGTATTTTCTTACATGCCCCTGTATAGGTTCTTTGATTCTTTCCTGCTGCAAAACGTCTTGATATCAGAGAGTCGACTGCATTAAGCAGACCATTCAGCAGCAGAACATCGAGTAACTGATACATTTTCAGAGCTCTGTTTTATAACGCTTCAGTTAATGAATGCTACTATCATCTTGTTCACACCTGTTACCACTTCAGAAGTCAAGGGAGATAAATATTCGGGATCTCACTCTTCTGTTTATCACTTCAGTTAGTTCCCATATGAAACGCAATTTTTCGTTATTTTGAAGTATAAACCCGACTTTTGCCGGGCTCCGCAATATAGCCTGAAGGTTGAACGCGGTTTCTGAGACCACTCCACGGGTAATCCTCATCCGTATGGTGGCACTTCGTGTCACCGGGTGTTTATCGCTCTATATTATGTCCTAGTGGGGTAAAATTTACTTACTTACTGTTCTGTCTGTCTCGATAATAAATACTAGATAATATAATTTCTTAAATGTATCTTACTTAAATGTATCTTATTTTTCTTACTTTACCTCAGGCAACTTCCCTCTCCTCTTTGGACATATGCCTTGTATGGCATTTTATTAATGTGAAAAACCGCTCTATTTGCTTTCTTTGAGTGTTATTTAGTAACGGTTTTACAGCCGATTTCGTTTTATCTTCAACCCTAGTTTTGTATTTTCTAGCCACTCTGTCAACTTTTCTGTGAGATCTCATATTGCTGAGGTACATTTATCTTCAGTGTGTGAGAAGCTCCTTAGTATCCACCAAGTGAAGCTCTCGGGAAGCAGTTATTGAGAAAGGTACATAATCCGGAATTCTTAACCTCAAGAACAAGTAATTTGTATCGGTTAAAATAGCAAATGTTCAGCTTACATGGCATATTTTGGAATATTCTTTACAAACGGTGTGTAAGTATTTACATTAGCAATGTGTCGGTCCACCCAGTGGTAACGAATATATAACCACAAGTGTTAAATTCCCGCATTTACAGTGAAAGAAGAACTGTTTTCTTGTAAACAGATACTATGATTTTAAAACGTGTACAGTTAACTCAGAAAGCCTTCGTTAGTTTCGACTGTGGTATCGAGATCCGACCGTGCCGTAAGCAGTGGCAAATTACTGAACGTAAGTTTGCCTAGAAAAACCACAACAGCTGTGGTTACTTCAGCAACGTCTCGTAATGGACTGACTTTTAACAGTAGCTCAACGCTGGCATGAAGACTGTCGCCTTGTATTGTATCTGAACCAGCACACTTGAGGCGCAAGACTGATGTAAGTTACATCATCAGGGTCGATATCAGTGCACACGGGGTATTCCGATGCGTGCCAGTCGCCTATGCAGCAGCCAACCAAGGGTACGTGTACTGACTGTTTCCATGACAAGTTGTTTACACTGTCTTCTATATTGACCTCAAGGGCGGCACCGACATGTTTAATCAGACTTGGCTACGAGATTATGTAATCGTGTTAGCGTCAAAGAGTCACCATCATCATCCAATTTAGTCCGCATAGCGTTGGTGATATCGCTTGTCAACCTTTAACACTTTCAGACGCTTGTCTCCTTCAGAGACTGAGGCCTGACAGAACAACCAATATTCACTCAATGTTACCCTCGCGTCATCTCCATAGTA